CTTCCCAGCAAAACAAGGGAAAGGCAAGGATGGAAACCTCTGGGAAAACACTGAGCAGAGGAGCTGGAAAACAGGAGCAGGAATCCAGGCACCAGATTCCCAATCCATTCCATGGATCACTGCATCACCTGGAGCAGTTTTCCAGGTGGAGAGAACACAGGCAGGAAAATACCGTGGATGGTGCTTCCTCCTGGAATGCTGAGCTCATCTCCCATTCCTGCTCCATCCCAGGGCTTTACAGGGACAGACAACGATCCAAGACACTTCTCCTGTTTTTCCCAAGCCCCAAACACAACTTTATGGGAATTGGAAAATAAATCCAACAAAATGCAGCTTCCTGAGCTGAGAGAGGAGGTGTCGGAGACCTCAGGGAATCACAGGATCCAACTGTGGATTCCCAACAGCAGAAGGATGTGGAGCTGCTGGAGGAGGCCATGGAGATGCTCCAAGGGCTGGAGACAGGTTGGGAGAGCTGGGAATATCCAGGCTGGAGAAGGGAAGGATCCAGGGAAACCTTGGAGCTCCTTCCAGGGCCTAAAGGGGCTCCAGGAGAGCTGAAGAGGGATTGGGGACAAGGGATGGAGGGACAGGACACAGGGAATGGCTTCCCAGGGTTAGATGGGATATTGGGAAGGAATTCTTCCCTGGGAAGGTGGGGAGGGGCTGGGTTGGAATTCCCAGAGAAGTTGTGGCTGCCCCATCCCTGGAAGTGTCCGAGGTCGGATTGGAGCAACCTGGGCTAGTGGGAGGTGTCGGGGGTGGAATTCCATGATCTTTAAGCTCCCTTCCCACCCAAACCATTCCACAATTCTATAAATATATAAATCCTAATAAATCTAATAAATTCTAAATATATAAATCCTAAAATCTGTCGGAATTGCACAGCCGCAACTCCCACGAAACCCGCGGACGCGAAATCCAACCGGCGTTTTCCGACGGCGCCCGGAAAAACCCCCCGGACTCACCCCACGTTCCCTTTCCTCTTGATGATCTTGGTCCGACTCTTCACTTTATAGCTGGATAACAGGGCCTCTCCAAAGGATTTCCCTGCTCCGAGACCCACGGAAGCGGCGCTCGGAGCCACGGGAGCACTTCCGGGACACGGAATGTCGGGAGGCTTCCTGTGATCCTCGCTCCTCCAGCGGAATGCCGACTTGGAAGTGGAAGGCAGGGCCGGCAGGCTGGAGGCTTTCCACTTGTATTTGTTGGGAGAGACCCCCCCCAGCTTGGATTGCAATCCCGATTTTTTCGCCTTGGCTCCCAAATCCGCCCTGGGGGATGTTTTGGCTCCTCTTTCCGTCCCCCCGAGGCCTTTCCTGGAATTCTCGGCTCGGGGGCTCCCCCACCTCCTCACCAGCCGGCAGCTTTTCCCGGGATTTGCCACCCAGGTGTAGTTGTTCTTGCGGAATTTCGGGGCTTTGCTGGAGACGGGAGACTTGGGAATGACGGGAAATCTGCTCTTCCCTGGAATCACCCCGAGTTGAGCGGGCGGAGAGGGCACCTTGGCATTCCCAAAGAGTTTGGGGAGCAGGGAAGCGTCCTTGGCATTCCCAAAGAGTTTGGGGAGCAGGGAAG